AACCAACTGACCAACTTCAAAATTTCTGGCTCTTACTCTTTTGTGAAAAGCGCGAGTCATTCTCTGTCTATACAACTGGCCATGGCAAACGGCGACCATTCTCTTCTCATCAATCAAGGCTAGTTGATCAATCTGTTTGCTAACCCACTCAGCATTACTTAGCTCAGCTTCTTGGATGATCCTCAGTGAAGGTATCTCGACTACAACAGGTACGACTGCTTCTGTTCTGTATACTAGCAAGTATGGAGTAGCCCCAGTTGATGTTCTAACCGTCGTTCGATAACCCAGTAGAGCATATGGCAATATTTCATGCCAACCCCGCTGCTTGTCAATCATTTTCCTCAGAATCTTCTTGATGTTCTTGTTGGCGGCCTCTACAGCTCCGTTCATTTGAGGACGATAAGCAGTTGACCTTCGGTGAATAATCTTAAATTGTTCACATATCTCTTTCATCAGATGACTGTTGAGATTTGCACCGTTATCAGTGATGATGGATTCTGGAACTCCAAATCGGCAGATCAGATTGTTGCGGACAAAGTCGGCCACCACTTTCTTGGTTACCGATTTGTAAGAGGCTGCTTCCACCCACTTGGTGAAATAATCGATGGCAACCAAAATGAATCTGTGTCCATTAGAAGCGGCTGGCTCTATAGGACCGATGACATCCATTCCCCAAGCTACAAATGGCCAAGGTGAACTCATAGCATTAAGTTCGTGAGGTGGCACCCGTATCAAATCGCCGTGCACTTGACATTTGTGGCATTTTTGCACGAATTTGCAACAGTCATGCTCCATAGTCATCTAGAAATAACCGGCTCGAAGGACTTTTCTTGCCAAGGTAAGCCCGTTCATATGTGTACCACAAACTCCAACATGTATCTGTTCAATAAGCCTCACGGCTTCAGCAGCATCCACGCATCTCAAAAGACCCAAATCTGGAGTCCTCCTGTAAAGGACTTCTCCATTCAAAAAGAAATTGAGAGCCATACGACGTATCGACTTCTTTTGATTAGATGTGGCATCTTCTGGATATGTCCCAGACTCCAAGTACCTCTTTATGTCGAAATACCAAGGCAAACCATCTGGTTCTGATTCAACATGTGAACAATGGACTGGATGTTCCTTCAAGTCTATATCCAACGGGTCGATGTAATCAGTATCTGTATGTTTGATCATTGAAGCGATGGTGGCAAGAGCATCAGCTAATTCATTCTGTATTCTTGGAGTATGTCTGAACTCGATCTTGCGAAACCTTTTACACAGATTTTGCACATATTGTATGTAAGGTACAATCTTCGGGTTCTTCACAGCCCATTCTCCTTGAACCTGATGAATCAAGAGGTCTGAATCTCCAATAACCAGTAACTCGTAAACATTCATGTCAACGGCCATTTTCAAACCGAGAATGCAAGCTTCATACTCAGCCATGTTGTTTGTGCAGTTGAATCGTAGTTTAGCCGCCATAGGATAGTGCTGACCAGATTCTGATACCAGGACTGCTCCAACACCTTTACCCTGGTGATTCACCGCTCCATCGAAGAATAATCTCCAACCTGGATAAGCTTCAGAGATATCTTCACCCACAAATGACACTTCTTCATCGTGAAAATACGTCTTGAGAGGTTCATACTCTTCGTCAACGGGATTTTCCGCAAGATGATCAGCCAAAGCTTGTGCTTTTATTGCCTTCTGAGTCACGTACACGATGTCAAACTCACTCAACAGCATTTGCCATTTAGCTAACTTCCCGGTCGGCATCGCTTTCTGGAAAATATACTTCAATGGATCCATCCCGGAGATAAGATATGTAGTATACGACGAAAAATAGTGTCTCAGCTTCTGGGCAAGCCACGTCAGAGCACAGCATGTTCTCTCCAGCAAAGTGTAGCGAGACTCGTACGGAGTAAACTTTTTGCTTATGTAGTAGATAACCCTCTCCTTCTTCCCTGTCTCGTCGTATTGACCAAGTACACATCCAAAGGCGTTATCTGAAACAGACAAATACAGCAACAAAGGACTCCCTTCTCGCGGAGGAACCAATACTGGTGGATTAGACAGATAGCTCTTGATGGCGTCGAAAGCGGTCTGACACTCCTCAGTCCACTTAGTCGGGGCATCTTTCTTCAGCAACTTGAAGATAGGCTCACATACCACTCTCTTCTCGTTTTCGGCGGAGGTAACTCTTGAATCGCTTTGATCTTGGAAGGGTCGAGCTCAATACCTCTTCTGCTGACTATAAATCCCAACAACTTCTCAGCTGGGACTCCAAAAGCACATTTGGCGGGATTTAGCTTCAAGTTGTACCCACACAAACGTTCAAAGAATTTTCGCAGGTGTGTCAAATGATCCAAACTCTCGCGGGATTCGATTATGACATCATCCATGTACATCAATTTCCTTGTGAATCATGTCATGAAAGATGGTCGTCATGGCTCTCATGTAAGTGGCACCGGCGTTTTTGAGCCCAAACGGCATCACCCTGTAGTGATATACCCCCCAAGGTGTGATGAAGGCCGTTTTCTCCGCGTCTTCTTCATCCATCAGAATTTGGTGATAACCCGCGTAACAATCCACAAATGACTGCATCTCATGTTTGGCACAGTTGTCAATCAGAATATGGATATTTGGCAACGGGAAATTATCCTTTGGACTAGCCTTGTTGAGATCTCTGTAATCAACACAAATCCTAATTTTTCCATCTTTCTTGGCGACCGGAACGAATTCGCCAACCAGGTGGGATGTTGCGTTACTTCTACCAACCGGGACTCTATCTGCTTGGTGATTTCCTCCTTAATCTTCAAACTCAATTCAGGCTTGAATTTCCGAGTCTTTTGCTTCACCGGCTCGAACCCTGGGTTGATAGGCAGCTTATGAGATACGACATCAGTACTCAACCCTTGCATGTCAACGACTTCCCAAACGAACACATCACTGTATTCCGCAAGCAGATGAACCAGGCTCTTCTTCTGAGTTTCATTCAGGTGGGTGCTGATCTTAACCTCTTTGACACATTCTGAATCTCCCAAATTTACCGTATCTGTTTCCTCCAGATTCGGTTTATGTTGATTCTCGAACTGTCAAAACTCTTCTACCACATAGTCTGGTTCCCCACTTTCTTCGTCATAGTCGTCAGCCTCGTCGTCATTTGCCTCATTTTGCTCGTTTAGCTCATGACATGACATGACATTGGCAGGTTTGTAACTTACGTTACTGAAATCATAAACAGACAAAATTAGAAAAGTAAAATATAACAAGCAATCGAATAAAAAAAGTCAAAATAAGGAGGCTTTCATTTAAATTGAATCAAAAATGCAAATTTGGGTCATGGCACAAGGCCGTGTCGCCCTTTAAACAATCATAACAAAATTCAAAATCAAGAAAATTCAGAAATGGTGGGTCTCGGGCCTCTTCCGAACGACCACCGATTTTGGCATGCACAAAATAACTCCATTCTACCACAGAGTTCGGGGCATCAGGATCGGCGTGGACGTCCAATTTTGCAGCATATCCCCTGGTTCAGCATCACGAATGCCTGCTGGCTCAGCCTCCTCCTCGATGACGGCATTGATCTCGTTGAACAGGTCACAGATTCCTTCCCCCTCGTCTTCAGGCTCGGCGTGCTCCCGGACTGGAAAGGAGTGATAGAGATGTGGGATCGGCTTAGTCAACTCTTGATCCCTTCTCCTCTTTATCTTCATATCATCATCTGTGGGGATGTACCCCAAACCATACTTTGATCCATGAGCAAGGACGGGAACTGGCTTGATGATCCCTTGGGCATTCCTTCCTAGTCCGGAACCTGGTTCGAATCCGCTCTGCAGCATTACCGTGGCAATCATTTTGTACACGGCCGGCATGGGAGTCTGTGGTGCCAAGACCTCATCGGTGGCATTTACCAACTCCACTGTGTAGAAATCCGAAGTTTGCGGCGTCTCGTCCAAGATCGGCACCTGCTTATCTGAATGGCTCCTTTTCCCGTGAATAACTAGTTCTTCATTTCTCCATACTAGTTTCATCACTTGGTGAAGAGTGGAGGGGATGGCTCCAGCCATATGAATGAATGGCCTTCCCAAAAGGAGGTTATAGCTGGTGTCGATATCCAACACCTGGAATTTTGCCTCGAACTCCACGGGGCCCATTTGGATGATCAAGTTCACCGCTCCTAATGTCTCTCTCTGCACACCATCAAATACTCTCACATTGACCTGGTTTTTCTCCAACTTTCCGAGGTCAAACCTCAGCTGCTTCAGCGTGGACAAGGGGCATATATTTAGGCCATATCCGTCGTCTACTAAAACACGGTTGACAATCTTTCCGCGGCATACCACGGTGATGTGTAGAGCTTTGTTGTGGGCTCTCCCTTCGGACGGCAACTCATCATCGCAGAAGCTGATACGGTGTCCCTGAATGACTCGGTGAATCATAGCAGCTACATTGTCGCTGCTTGTGCCTGAGGGCACGTATGTATCATCAAGAGCTTTCATTAAGGCCTGCCTGTGGGACTGAGAGCTCATCAGCAGGGCCCACACAGATATCTGAGCCGGAGTCTTCTCTAAATGTTTGACGATGGAATAGTCCTTCAGTTGCATCCTTCTCCAGAACTCTTCTGCTTCCCCCTCGCTTATCGGCCTCTTAGCATGGTCCTTCTTCTGTCCTCCGAGAGCAAGCTCATCAGGAGTGTAGCATCTGCCCGATCTAGTCATGCCTTGAGCTACGGCCGTTTCTATCACAAACTTGGGTTTGGGGAGAGTCTTTGAGGGCACCAAGGCAACAACCTTTGCAGGTGTCAGAATAACAAACTCCCTCCTTTCCTTGACGCTTAAAGAAGCGACAGCCCTTTCCAAGTCTTCCTGAACAACAGAAGTAATTCTCTTGGCTTCACGCTCATCTTCGTCAGTTTCTATCATGTTGGTGTTTCCACCCCCATGATTTGGCAATGGATTCGTGTTGACGTTTGGCGCCGCCGGTTGAAGAGAAACTACCTCCTGATCGATCAGGTCTTAGATTTTGTGCTTAAGGTTGATGCAATCTTCCGTGTCATGTCCAACACTGTGGGAATGATAAGCACACCTTTGATCTGGCCTGTAGAACTTTGAGTTGACATCCACGGGTTTGGGCCCCACAGGGTGGATGTATCCATTTGCGACTAGCCTCTCAAATAGTTTTGTCCGGCTTTCAGAAAGTGTGGTAAATTTCCTTGAAGGCCTTTTTTCAAATCTCGGACGGGGAGGATCATAACCGCTTTGCTGAGGGGGAGGGACTTGTTGGTAATTGCGGGCATTTGGTCGTGGAGCTTGGGCTCTGGAATGGGGATTTATTTGGTAGTTTGGCATTGGGGCTTGGTAATTTGGATGGGGGTTTTGATATGCTGGGGTTTGTATTTGATATGCGGGGAATGGTGCTTGATAGCTTGGCTGTACATTAGCGCAGCTAGGAGCGACATTCTGGTAGTGGGGAGGGACTTGATAGGCTTGGGGGTAGTTTGGAAAATTTTGGGGAATCGGGGGTGGATTCTGATACGACACAATATGGGCTTCTGGATAAGTGGGGCCGGCATTGTAGTGACCAGAATGATTTGAGTTTGGACGGTAGGCTTGATGAGGCTTTGATGGAGGGTAGGAGCGGCCTTGGGGACGTGGTAAGTTTTTGGGGGCTTTTCTTCCCCCGTGTGAGATAGCGTTAACCTCCTCTCTTTTCTTCCTTACCAGTCCGGAAGACCCAGGCGATGCAGACACTCGGGCTATCTTTCCCGACTTCAGGCCATCTTCAATAGTCTCACCCACTCTGACTATTTCGGCGAACTTGGCGCCGATTAACAAGATGATCTTGTCATAATACTCGGGCTCCTGCACCCACACGAACACCTCCACAATCTTTTTTTCTATCATCGGAGGCCTCACCTTTGCCGCCTCTTTCCTCCATCTGTACGCGAATTCTCGATAGCTTTCTGTGGGCTTCTGCTTCATCTTCTCCAAGGAGTACCGATCAGGAACTATCTCGACGTTGTATGCGAATCTGTCGATGAAATCCTTAGCCGGTGCACTCCAACTGGGCCATTGTCGAGTCTCATGCGACGTGAACCATTCCAGGGCCTCACCGCACAGGCTCCGGCTGAACAACCTCATCAGCAACGCTTCATCTTTTCCAACTCCTACGAGTTGGTCACAGTATGCTCTTAGGTGTGCCATGGGGTTGCCCACCCCTCCGAAGGTATCAAACTTCGGGATCTTGAACCCTTCAGGCAGGTTCAAGTCTGGGTGGATGCAAAGTTCCGCGTAGCTTAACCCGGCGACGTCTGGAGTGCATTGAAATTCTTTCATTGCCCTTTTGATCTCCTCCTTTATGTCTACCTTCGTTTCTTCCCTCGCCCTCCACTCTCTCTCTTGCTCCCCGTAATGGTCCAACTCGGAGCCGTGCACCTCATGCTCGACTGGGACAGGGACTTGAAAAGTGGTTCTTTTGGGGAGGGTGGAGCTATGGAAGGGCTTGGGACGTTCTGTGTGGTTTGATAATTTTGCGGATAATTTTGGGGACTGGTATTTTGGGTCAAGTGGGGATGCGGTGTTTGGGAATTGAAGGCGGTGGGATTTTGGGTTTGATTTTGGGGTAGTGGGGCTGTTGGAATGTTTTGGGGGTGTGGGGGTATTTGTGAAGGATTGTTTGGGAGTGGTGAGGGAGTCTGATAGGAGACTGACGCGTATTGGGGGTTTTGGGTGGTTATATCTATTCTGGAGGGGTTATGCACGGGTGTCGATGGACGGTGCTGAGTAGGATCCGAGTTGGACGAGGGGAAGTATGTAGGAGGTCTCGCGTCGAGAAAGTTGGGGCCAAACCCGGGTGGAGGCGTATCTTGCCTTTGCTGCAATTCTACTCTCAGATCTGCTATCTGCTGCATTAGCTGCGCAATAAGCTCATTCTGCTCTGCCGCGGTGGGCTGAGCCACCACGACGTCTGTGAGGCTGATTTTTTCATTGTTGTCTCCCATGTATGTATTTGCGTTTGGAACGGGGAAGGAATCTGCGGGACCTTTTGATCTGGTGAAGTAGTGGTGATCTGCCAGCTTTATCGACACAGATCAGTAAGAGGTACCTAAGAGGTAAAAACAACTCAAAGGCAAATTTGTCAGCGCATATTTGAATACAAAATACATAATATCGCACAGCAAACAGATTAAACACACAAGTCGCTTTGTTTGAGGATATCTTAACCCGCGAATAAGGACGAAAAAATATTTCGAACAAACAGGAATTTATTTGTTTTGGCGCTTTCTCGGGAAATATGAATCACGTTGAGCTATGGTCTTCTTGCAGCTGCTTTTTAACGCCCGTTGATCTTATCTTCGTATCTCCGAAACACGGAGGAGAATGAAATTTTTTTGTGATAGGGGCCGGGCCGGGAAGGCTGCCTACGTATCTCACAAGGAGAATTCAGGCCCAACGTAGTTTGGATCCTTTCTTTCATTCTTTCATTGTGATTACAAGGGAATTGAAAAATAACATTGAAATTTCTAGAAGGCAACATTTGGCGATTTCTTTTCTTGTGGCTGCGTCATTCCTTTCCTTTCAGACAGTCGGAAATGGAGGCTTGTAGACTATTTCTTCTTCATCATCCTCCTCAATCACTTCACGGACGGGGCCACTATTGCCTGTTCCCTGATCATGGACGAGGTATTTTCTGCCCTTTGAGTCGCTGCGGGTCGCCAATTTTTCGTCGAGTGCCGCACTTCTGGCCAACAACATGGCAGTCTCAACATCTACCCTTGCTTCTCTCGCCTTTCCTTCGTGTATCTCCAAACGAAGCAAGTTCAACCTTTTCCTTAGGCTTTCAGTTTCTATCTCGACCTCCTTCTTTCTTTTTATCTGCGACGCCAGATCTTCATCCAAGGTCGTGACCGCAGCTTTGTAGATCGCCGTGGTCATGTCTACTTTGAGCCCTTCCTTCTTAACCTTCTGAATCTCTCGAGTGACTCGCTCGATCTTTCTTCGCAATTCCTCCTCAGTGAGCTCCGTCTGGACGTTCTTGCCTTTGTCCATAGCGGTGATTCAACTTTCCTGAGATGATAGAGCGGTATTTAGGATTTATGGTATGGATTTTTGTGTGAGAAACTTGAGACTCGAGAATTTTGGTCGGACATTTGTAATGTTGGCTTCTGTATACTCTTTAGGATTTTGGCTAGGAGTGGGTTTACGATATCCTCAATCATAGCGACATAACACATAAACATTCAAACAAATATATCGTGTCCTAAACATGCATGTGACCCTTTTGTGCCAAGGGTAGGCCTAGCGATCTGAAGGATGTATTGCGCCATTTAAATAAGTAATTGTACCCCGGAAACAAATTTCACTAGATGTCATAGCGTTCATTACACAATCAAAATCAAACGGGATACATCTTGGGAATGGGATGCAATGCAAATACATATATAAAATCAATCCCACGCAGGGGAGTTAAAGGGTTGATGATCCAGCTCCTCTTCTGGCCTTCTCCACTTCTTCTCGGATAATGCACTTGCTGGTGAACACGTATGGCTCAGCGAATGCAGCTTTGGAAGATGTTGGTATGGCTCGTAAGGTGTTCATCTGCTCATCCAGAATAGTGTCCAAACGCATTAGACAAGTCCTTGTGTCAGCTAATTCTTGTGACGTCACGGCCAAAACCCTCTGATTTTCCAATTCCCGAAGCTGGTACTCTCGCTCCTTTTGTTGAAATTCTTGCTCTTTCTTATGAAATTCTTGCATCCTTCGATCCCACTCTTGCTGAAAATGGTACGCGTGAATCTGAAGCCTTGTCTCCACGTCTTCAATTTTCCGACCCGTGCGTGGTGTTGGATCCACTACACCATGCAAATCATTATGCAACCATGTCTTGTATTCGTCAATATATCCAGTTTCATACCTATCTTCGGTAACCTCCCACTTCATGTTGACACGTCCGACCCATTCCTGGAGGATAATTTTAGCGAAAGGTATCTTGTCCTTCTCATTGTAATCGACTATGAAAGAGTTAGCATCTCCTTGGACGGGTATGATTTGGACTTTCCCAAATTGCCGCATCACTCTCGTCAGGTTGTAAGGACGCAATCCTCTGATGCCGGGAAGGACTAAAAATGGCAGTTTGGCCCCTTGGGCTGCTATCATCTGAGACTTGAAGCTCGGTAATACCCATTGTATGTCTCCTTCTTTCAAGTCATAAAACACCCTTGACCACGCATCCCTGGTGGTGTGAATTGGAAATTTACGGATACTCAAGTAGAACTCGTAATTATTGAGAGGACTTGTTTGACTTGGTTCGGCCAACTCCTGTGGCTGGGGGTTGTCTCTTTTACATAAATGTTCCGTCAACCACCATTGGAGTAAGATGTTGCAACCTTGGAAAAACGGGAACCCGTTCTTGCACAGACTCAAGGATCGGTAAATGTCGGACAAGATGACTGGGGCCAAACAACAATATTTCTTTTCTTCAGATTTTCTACCGACTCCTCTGAACATGGCATTCACTACCATTATTACCCGAGTGTCGATCTCTTTACCTTCGTCTTTAGGGAACACCATAGTTCCCAAGAGGCATGCGGAGAAAGCGATAGCTTGAGTCTGTCTCCAGGTACTGTAGTCATGGAACTCTTTCGGGAATAGTCTAAAATAATTGTCGTGTCCCCATCTCTCGAAAAATCTCATTAGTGGAATGTCGTGGGTCTCTAACCAATCTGCATTCACTAGGAATAACATGTCTCTCAATTCATTCTTGGTTGGCCTATCTGGTAAGAGAATGTGATGATCGGGACGCTTTTTCCTTTTGCCACACGTCCCAATCGAGTCAAGTCAATCTTTGATCTCTTCTAGTGTGGGCGTTATTTCGACATCTCCAAATCGAAAGACCATTTTATCATCGTCCCAAAATCGGGTGATGACCTCAATAAACGTGGGCCATACCTTGAAATCCATTATCGAAGGTAGGTGACCCAGGTAAATTGAGATTTCTCTCTTCTGACACTCCTTAAGATTGCCCCACCATACTCGAAGAATGTCGGGTGCCTGGGTGACCATTTTGAAGTGAAGGAATTGATTTGACATCTACAAAACATACAACTAGTTAATTTTTCAATCCCCCCGATACAACAACTAGTTGAACACACAATACATCCTTCAAATTTAAACAACAAACATGAGCGTCCTATCGAGCCGTAGGCTCTTTGGACTCAAGGTGGACTTTTCTAATGGGCCCGACACTCCTTGGGTGTCGGGTCATCTTAGGCCAATGCGCTATTTTCGGGATTTTGTTTCGCTCTATCCTAGTTTGACTAAGAGTGGGTTATATTTAAAGTGGAATGGGTAACCCAAGCGGACTACTTGGGCTAGGACAATTAACGATCGTTGACTATCAAGTAATCAACTACACTCGTCAGGGTGCCCCGAGAAGATTTTTGGTTAACGAACGATTGCGAACCCGCATAATCGTCCTTTAGTGGAATGTAAAAAGTGTCATTTGACGGAATATGTATGTTATGCATGCAACAGTTAAAATCTAAATAATTTAAACACTTAAACAATAAATCACAAATAATCAACTACGTTAATCTTAAGGTTAGAATCCTCCAAGTCCCCAGCGGAGTCGTCATTTCTGTTTTATCGAAAAAAATGATTTGCGAAAAGGAGCTTGTTTTATTTTTGACTTTTTTAGGAGTCGCCACTTAATTTTTAAGAAAAATCAAGAAAACTTTGTTTCTAAACAACTTAAACAGAAAAATTGTGTTGAAAATATTTAAATGGGTTCGGGATTCATATTAGTGTCTTAGGAAGGTGTTGAAGGCACCTAAGACACTCCGTTAAATACGGTTTTCCAACGACTAACTATTTGACTATTTTTGTTTTAACTTTTGCAATTTTGAACTTATTGATTTTTATCTAGGCAAGTTTGACAAATTCTGAAACACTTATTATTTTAAGATTCCATTAAAGTTAAAACCTTTTAAACTTAACTCTAAGCAACCTTCAAATTTAAACCCTTATTGTTTTAAAGTTTCAAATTTACGCTTTAATTTCGATAAAGCAAAAGGCGTTCGATGGGGTTTGGAGTTTCTGATCCTAGACTATAAGACATTTAAAACAAAAACGACATAAGCACGTAATAAATACAGAGAGAGAGAGAGAGGGAGAGAGAGAGAGAGATTCGGGTCCAAGTTTCGGATGCTGTTCACCTTGGCCAAAACTCGAACCCACCTGCTTTTTGGGTTTTAAACCCATTTTTGTACCTGTCCTAATCTAAACATATAAAGGAAGTACGAAAAAATAAAATAAGAACAACAAGGCTTATGCCCATTACAAATAAAAATATACTAAATGAATGGAAAGGTCTTCCAATCCGACTTCTTCAAATCTCTTCAACCTTCGTAGGATTTGCTTGGCATGTCTATCCTGATGGTTTGACTCGAATGAAGAGAGTTTCAAGCCTTTACGGCTCTTCCGAATGCGTAGGAAAAGATAGAGCCCCAAAGTGGACTCGAAAAAGTATTTCACATGCAACAAAAATAAAGGCAGTATGAAAACAAGCGGAATCTCGCAGAACAAAGAAGCAAAGATTATACAAAACTACTGTTATTCATCATCTAGGACTAACTCATTTATGTATATCACTGGAAACAACAAGTTATAATACCCATCAATCAAAGTTTTTAATAATGACGCATTCTTAACCAATAAACTAACATGACGAAAAACCATACCGCGGAAAGAAAAGGAAAGAAAGAGAATTCATACATGCTGTTTCGAACTTAAATGTAAGCATACGGGTTCAAACATCTTTTGAAACTCAACAGGTGCTTAGCATATTCATCACTAGTTAATTGAAGAGTCAAAATGATTAACATGGTAATACAATACATGGTTCAAACAATACACACTCACTATTCATCACAAACAAGACTAGCCGTAACAGCATGTTTTCGCCACGATGAGGGCTAAAAATATTCGAACTTGCAAGTGTATATTACAAACCAAAACTGAACAAAATTTCCTCCCTAGTCATTGACGGTGAATATCATTGAAACGGGATCATGAATTTGGGATGAGAAGCGTCAAGAACCTTCAAACAAAAGAACAAAAGAAGTGGCAGCCGGAAAATGCAGACTTGAAAACAGATTTCATCATTTAACTTCAGCTAATCAATAAGTAAAATGTAGCTCGCAATACAACTATAAGCGACCCTTTAAGTTGAGATTCAGACGAAACGACACAAACGACGAGTGTAACGACCAAACACAACATGCGATGTGACTCGAACACAAACAAAGCCAACAAGTATAATCTTCTACACTCACTGCGAGCAAGCCATACATACTCAACACCCGAACATTTAACATGCTTGACAAAGGAAAAAAAATAAAAAAAAAAGAGGACCAGCATACTGAATGGGCAACATCATACATAACGGTTTCAACTATTAATCCGAAAGAGGCTCCAGTCACAACAATGAACCATCACGTCAAAAACAACATGAACAAGGAGTGTTCGGAAAGGGAAAACAGTAAGCAACAGAACAACATAACCACGAATTTTCAAACGGTTTCTACACTACATCGAGTCAACAACAGCTACAACCAACCTAAACAACGAAGTGTAAACAACAGATACAACTAAAAAATCGAGAGTTGAAACGAATGTTACCTTTTTCGGAGCAGCGAACGGAACCGGGACGAGCAGCAACAGCAGCGACTTTCACACGCGAACGGCTAAACGTTCTTATGGACTGGTGTCGCCGGAATGGGAAGACGATGTCGCGATTGACACTGAGGCGAGAAGCTCTGGTTTTGAATGTTCTCAGCCAACAGTCCGGAAAGACGAACGAAGAAGGGGGAGAATCTTCGAATTCGATATCCTCCTTCGTTCTTCTACAGCAAAAGGAAAAGAGACCAAAGTACTCTCGAAAGTGCGCAACAAACAGATAGCAAAATTTCTTTTTCCAGAATTTTCCAACAAAAGAGAATCTTAAAAAAAAATCCTCTCTTAAGCCTTTCAAACTCAAAATTTCCCAATCCCAAAGTTTTCAACCAAAATTCTAACCAAGAAGAAAAACAGTAGAAGAGACCAATGAGAAAATCTAAGTCAAATTTTCCCTCTATGCAATCTTTTCGACAAAATCTCTAAGTATCTAACGATTTTTCCACTCCAAAAATTCCAACGAAAATCGCTAACCAAAAAGAAAAACAGTAGAAGAGACCAGTGAGAAAATCTAAGTCAAATTTTCCCTCTATGCAATCTTTTCGACAAAATCTCTAAGTATCTAACGATTTTTCCACTCCGAAAATTCCAACCAAAATCGCTAACCCCTTTTCTTGAGGACGAAAGGGGTTTATATAGGGGGATATTAAGGTTTTTCGGAAGAGGGAGGGCGGGAACGTGACTATTGATTTCAAATTTGAAATCTCTTTCATTAATGGAGCAACACTTTTCCTGAAGATTTCGTCTTTTTTGGAAATGGAAAAAGGGAGGGGAATGGCTAGGATCGCTCCAATCGTCCTTGAGGGGAGACGTGGATCGATCTCGCGCCCTCAAGGACGAAAACGCGTCTGGCACAGACGAAAACACAGGTCTGCCATAGCCGAAAGCAGGTCTGCTGCGATGGGTTGAAGAAGGAGACGTTGGTGGAGAGAGAAGTCGCGTTGGGAGACGAGAAACGCGGCTGGAGGCTGCTTTTCGTACGTAGCCTCTGCGTTCTCTGGTGATTTCTGGAAATGGCGTAGGTGTTCCGTTTTTCTGGGTAGCGAGAGGGGAAGCTCGCGTGGGGAGACGCGAGGAGAGGAGGAGAGGAAGGGAGAGAGCGTGAGGAAGACACGAGGGTGTTGGGAGAGGGGGAAGAAGAAAGGGGGAAACGGGTTATTGGGTTGGGTCGGAGCGGGTCATAAGGGTTTGGGTCGTTGGGTTTGAATTGGGTTGGGTATTGGATTGGTGTTTAATGAATTGGGTATTTAGGTGTGGGCTGAGGGAAATTTGGGCTGTTGGATAGAGAATGGGCCTCAGAATTGAGGTGGGGTTGACAAGGGGAAAGGGAAATGGGCCGCTCATCCTTTGGGCCTGGGGCGGCTGGAAAGGAGAGGGGGGGGAAATTGGAGTGGGCTGGTAGGTTGGAGAAGGGCCCAATTTCGGCTCTAAAGTGAATAAAAAGGAAAACAAGTCAAATTTAAGAAGAGTCAATCGATTTAAAACGGATTTGATATAAATTCATTAACGAGCCTATTTATTTATTAACATAACTATTTAAATTATAAAACAATGATTCAAAATAATTGATTTAAAACAAGCTAGCTAAACAAAGCCTTTAAATGTATATTTTTTGGTGGTTTTGAATAATCATGAGATACGACTTATATACATAATTATGTAAATATGTATATCACCCGAAAATTATGGCAAAAGTACTTGAAATAACATAAAATTCACGTATTATATTGTTTAATTTTTGCAAAATTTATAAAATTAATTAATTAAAATTATTTGGGAAATTTAGGAAGCTCGATAATTAATTTATACCGCGCCGGTCAAAAATTGGGTGTCAACAGTCCTCATGCGTGTTTTTTTGATATTATGACTAATTACGTACTTGTTTCATTGTTGTTGCTTCTTGTTCAGCAGTTCATATTGCTTCTTACTTTGCTACGTGCCAAGTGCTATAATTGAGTTCATGTTCTTACTTTATGAATATTGGTTTCTATTTTAAGTGGGTAGATGATATCTACTGATCATTACATGTATGTTGTCCTTTTTTGATCCCTACTTGTGATTTTCTTTGTTTTGCTTTTATGGAGTGTAACAAGTGAACCATTGACTTCGATATTAGTGAAAGAATGTAGACGCAAATATGCATTAGTACATGAATATACTAAGTATGAGGGAAATGCAATAAAACATGAGACATGATCATAAGAGGATATAATTAAAAATATGATATGCATGACCAAACTAAGCATAGTAAAACCTTTAGAGAAACATCATAAATCATGAATATGATCGATGTATCTTAAAATCATCATGAAAGCTTTATAAAATCTTTAACAATCACTTAGTTCATACTGTGGGTTATTTACTATTAATCGGTATAGACCATATGAGCTATAACATGGAGTCCGATATCTTGCTCTCACGATAAAAAGAGACGTCCTTACTTGTCAAGGCAAGAACCTTAACTTCTGGCTTAGATGGATCAACTAGCTATGTGAGGGAAACTATTTGTCTTTCACCTTCAAATTCCTTCTTTATGCTTTCATTAATAAAAGTTCAATCGGATCATAATAATGTCGGATTTAAGATGTACTGTTTCTTACTATAAATTTTGTCTATAATTTTAACCAAATTACATATAACCAATATGTAAACATATAAAACTTGAGATATTATTTCTTGTAGAACAGAACAAGAGATCACATCACTATACATGTAACTTTTAAATGTGTATCCCATCACCTAATGCAGATAGATACATGTATTTTAGTAGTGCAACATGAATACTAGTACCAATAAAACAAGAGAAAAATGTTTGATCTTTGTAGCCGAAGACGTTCCTGGATTTACCCTCGTCTCATGCCTCCCCACATCAATCATGATCTCAAATCGACAATTAGAAGAGGTTCGTCCAAAATTAGAGGAGGATGGAGATGGATCAATCGTTGTAATGACCGATAAATTGTGAAACCTTTCACACGACCCCTTCTGTTGATTCATCGTTTGGTAGTACATATTAAACGCGTAGGAAGCATTGCTCTTAACATCCAATCCACCACATGATGAACCATATCCAAGACTCGTGCAATCTGCATAACTACAAGCATAGTTGATACTATCTGGTAAGTTAGGGTCCATAACATTAGCATTAGGAGCCATCACACACCATTTCCTAGCTAAATATCGAACGCCTTTTGCTGCTTTCAAACTTTGGTTGTTACCTAAATTTAGTTGGTACTTGATAGCTCCATCATAGTAAAACACTCCCCAATGTCTCTCGAAATTACCTGGTTGGATGCTCTTGGTGTCTTCATCCACGAGGCCGAAAAGGTAAATGTCTGGTGGCGTAGGACGTTTAGGGGTACCTATGCCACGGCTAATTCGGTCTAGTAGACCTTGATTAAACTTCTTAGCATACTCGATATTTGCATTGGAATCTCCATCAGTTGGCCAACCAATTTCTCCAACAATTATAGGTAATGACCCGAATCCATTTTTCTCTAGAGCCCAAACAAGAGTATCATAATTAGCTTCGAATACATTAGTGTATGATATGGACCCATCCACAACAGGAGATGATGTTCCTGAGAAAAATGCGAAGTCAATTGGGAAATGAGGATCTGCGTAGAGGCTAAGGAACGGGTAGATGTTAATGGTGAGAGGACCTCCGTTATCACTTAGGAATTTGACGATTTTCATCATGAGACCATGAATGTCTGATCTAAAATTTCCACCGGAGGGGACTCCAGTGTCCGTTTCATACACATCAGCATTAATTGGAACCGTAACCTTCACTTGTCGACCAAGGCCTGCTTTGATAAGAGCTGCTTGAACATTTTGGAGGGCAGGATAGGTTGTGTTAACGAATGTGTCTTTGTAGTCTTTCAAAAAAGGCTCATTTCCCACAGCAACGTACCTGACAATTAAAAAATGGATTAATTTTATTATTGCTAATTAATGTAGAAAAAGAACAAACTCACTAGCCTTACTTGTGAAGATAGATAGAAAATTGTCCTAACTAAATTTTATTCGGGCATACAGGAGAATTACTACTCTTGCTCACCATAATGATTAACTAGAGTAATATAAATTACATAAATTTATTTCTCAATTAAATAAGGAGCACAAAAACATATAATTAAGATATCACAATATATATTAAAATTATAAATCACAAACTAAAATTTTATACAAATTATTACATAATAATCTAATAGTTCAAAAGTTATTTTTGCTTTTAACTTCAACCAGAATAAACGACTCATCTCAATAAAATACTTTATTAAGAATGCAAGAAGGTGCGCTTTTGACAAATTAATTTTAATTTTTTTCATTCCCCTCCAGTTCCTTGATAATTAAGATTACTAATAATTCTATTTTTGTAGTAGTATTCATTAATGGATTTAAGAACGCAAAAAGTGAAGACGTACGAAATTTTCTATTACTAATGTAATTTAATATGTTACAAAGGTTATTTATCGTTTATTTTAGGTGACTAATTAAAACTACTATTATGTAATAAAGTTGTGTAAAGCCTTTTAGTTGATTTGATTGCATGACTATATATTTTTTATATGTATAGCATAAACTCTTAATTATATTTTGATATTTTTCTTTTAAAAAATAATAGTTAGTAGTTTGACTCTAAACACCAATATTAAGAAATATGAATAAGTATCATAATATTCCAAAATTATTCTTAAAATAAATGATTTTTAAATAGACTAGTATCATTATAAATTATTTTGGTCAAATAAGTGGGATCTAACGTGAGTTGAATGTTGATAGTGTCATTAAATTTTGTCACATAAGAAAATATATCAATTTTTAACTGACTAAATAGAAAAGTATATTATATAAATTAAGACTAGAAAAATAATAAATAATATTAAATTTTATTGAATAAAATAAAATACTTTTTACTATATATAGTTTTAAATGATCTTATGACAATATAGCACATAAATTTGATGACATCCTATATATCCACATGTCAAAAAGAAAGATATGCATAATAACCTAACGAAACATCACCTTAAACAGATCGATATATTCCATAGTCCATAAATACCTTAGTTTATAAGTAAGTTCTCCATTATATGTAGGTACATTTTTTGTGTTATTATTAATATCATGCATTTTCTGAATGAGGTGGTTCAATAAAAAAACTAGTAGGAAAGTTATATTTTATTATATATTTTTTTTATGAATTCACGAAAATAACTTTTATTTCTTATTTCCTATCTAAGATGTGTATATTTTTTTTACTCTCTTCATTCGCTTTAAGCTGTCATAATTTTCTTTATTTTGAAATTATTTTAATACTGTGTATTGTATGTTTCATCATATTGATAAAAAAAAAGTTTTGAATGTATACTAATTTCCATAATGTTTTTGAATATTTTATTTTAAAATGTTGAATAAATATAATCTAACGAACAAACCTGATATCGACCCCATTCTTAGAAATAAATGATGAAACATTTTGTTGCACCCATTGTTCAGCATTTCGAACACTAGCGGACAATGGTGCTAACAAGTCATTAGGTATCCCAACCATAACTTGAACACCTGATCTACCCAATGCCTTCAACACTCCTGGATCTGCTTCAAACAACTTTACTTTATTGAATCCGTTCTCTTTTAACAACTTCACTACAATATCAGGTGGAAGTGGATGACTTGCTCGCGTCCCCCAATTCACGCCTAGACCCTCCGTGGTTAAACATTTATCCAGCGTAACTAACAAAATCCATAACACGAAGATGTTGTAGAAATACTTCATTATATGAATTAGTAGTGAATGAAGATGGTGCTCATGCATTAATATATGTGAGAGCTAGGGTTTATATATGTTTTGAATTGTGAAAGAGAATGTACGTACTTTAAAAGAAAGGGATCATAACTTTGGAGCAATAGAAAAAGTTAGATGAGAAAAGAGAAAGAATGTTCAAAGAAAGGAATGAAGTATGAATGATGGTTAGGTTTCCTCTACTCAAGTTTTATGCTCAAGAAATGGACCTACCTACCTACCTATCTTAGTTTCTATGGGTAGTCTAAAGTCAAATATATTTTTAAAATGTAAAATGATAGAATAATTATTTTACAATAAAGTTCTTCTAGTGATTCCTAACTTTTTAGCTGATAGTATTACAAATTAATTCATTTTAAGTAAGATTTTGATTAACTATTATTTAAAAAACTTATTTAAGCATTTTTTTTTTAAATCAAATATTTTAAAAAGCTCCTTTTTGAACAATTATTTCTTGAGAATTTTATATGTATAACGAATATTGTAGCGATTTGTTACGTTATTTTGAGAACTAGATTTCTTCCTATCATGAAAGTTTCTTTTCGTAAATATTAAATCAGAAGTTTGCATTATTTATTTACCTACTATTATTTAATTAACAAATATTTATTAAATAATTGATTTTAATTAATAATTAATGAGCAAAGTCTGAAATTTAGTTAATACCTTAAGCTACTTGGCTCATATGTAAAACTAAGTTAAATTACTTGGAGTTTAACATTTCAGTCATGTAACACCCCATAAAAAATTTGAACTAAGATTTGTTGTGAGTAGAATTTTATCAAGGAATTTAAAATTTTTTAAGTATTAAAGTCAGGTCACTAGATGTAACACATTGAGTTCTAAAAAGAACTAAATTGGAAATAGCAAAATTTAAAATTTTGCAAGTTATGCTTAAGTTATGAGTTTTGGGCCAATTTCAGAAGACCACAACTCTTAGTATAGGATGAGTTTTTTTTTGGTCAAGTATAAGATGAGTTAGGTGTGCCATAAGATGGAAAATTAAAGGTCTTTGAATTGTCTTTCCAACACCACTAAGTTGGCTAAGTTTGACTTCGAATGAGTGAGATATGCCCTTTTGAAGTCAGATGGTCCTGTTAAGAAAAGTTATATGAAAATAGTAAGAAGTATTTTGGTTTTTTTACTTATCCAATCAGATATAATTCATTTTTAGTAAGGTGTTAAGACTGTATTCTGATTAGGTTCAGTTTTATAATCCTAATATACGCCTAGAGTTTTAAAAAAGAGTTCAAGAAGAGAAAAGAGGATAAAATACAAAGAGTTTGTTAAGTTCTTGAGGATTTGATTTCGGACCAAGGGTGTAATTCCTAAGAGGTATGTAAGCTTTCATAGTATTTTGTTCGCTCACCCACACACCAATCATGAGTTTCTTTTGCGAATCTATCCATAAATATTGAACAATTTAATTTCTTGATGAGTTCTTGATAAGTGTTCTTGAAGTTTTCTTGCCGATAAAGTTTTGATGTAAGATTCTACTTGGGTCAACTTCAAACGACCATATCTCTTAGAATATAAAGAGTTACGTGAGTCATAACCTATGAAATTAACGTTATTTGAATCTACTTTCCAACCGCACCGATTCCGTGTCAATCAAATTTCTGAGAAAAAGTTATGACTGTTTTAGTAACATATACAATGCTTTTATGAATTAGCCGACGAGAAAACATTTAAAGTGTTGCTTTTTTTTTAACTATAAGAAAATCGTAAAAGAATTTCTTGATTAATTAAATGCTCAAAACAATTAAATTTTTTATCTTTTAGTCCATCATTCTCTTCTCTCTCTTACCTTAGGGCAAAACCCTAAGGAAAAATCAATGTAGAAAACTTTATTCAAGATTCTTTCAATCTTTTTTCAAGATTCTTCTTCAAGGTAAGTTTTTTCCCAATAATTCCATTCTAACTCATGTTCCTCCATACAAATATAAATCACCAATGAAAATAATAAATCTTGTCCATAGATATTTCAAGAAACTAGTTCAACAATCTCAAGAAAGGTTTTCTTGATTGTTTACCCTCAAGCTAGGGTTTCAAGGGTTCTAATCAAATTCTTCTTTAAGATTCTTTAATATTCTTCAAGAATCTTGTTTCTTTTTCAAGTATGTAAGGCTATTATAGTGTTGGACTAGCCTCACGCCCTATATTTACTTTCAAATTAGTAAAAAAGAAATCTAGTATTCTACCCCTAGGTTTGAGTATTTTTGAAATAAGTTGATTTGAGTTCTTGAGTTCATGTTTCCTTTAAAAGTTCTATTCTTAATTATCAAATTTTTATATTTTTATTAAGATCCTTTATATTATGGATCATAACGCTTGAATTTATAATTCAAATTTAAGAAAGAGTTAGAGTAGAGTTCAAGAAATTTTTTGAGTTTAATTGTAAATCCTTTGAGATCAATTGCCGACTTGAGATAAGTTTTGAGGAAGTAAGTATGAGAATGAGAAGAGTTGTATACCTGAGTTCCATATTGTTATCTAAACCCTTGAGTCGAGTCATTCATGCCCATAAATTCTGTATGAACTCCATCAGTTGAGTATCTTTGAGAGGAGTAGTATTTTCAAGTTCTAAGTATTAAGCATTAAGTTCCTAATAATTTTGGGATCTTATTCCTAATCATGGGGCTACTACATGTTACCCATGAAGTACTTAGAGTTGAGTAGTTCATGCCCATAATTCCGCATGAACCCTATGAGTCTAGCAGTCTTGAGATGAGAGGTATCATTAACATTCTTGAGTTGAGTCTTTCATGTCCATAATTCTGCATGAACCCTATGATTTGATTTATAAATTTTGAAAAGATTTTAGATCCAACAATTGAGTTCTTAAATTGAATTTTGAGAAAGTAAATATGAGTTTTGAGAAAAGAGTTTCTAAAGCATGATTAGTATGACAATCGAGTATGTCATCAATGTATGAGCAGTATGGTATTAGATATACCATCAATGTTTATGTATTATGACTTCCCGATTCATGAATGATCATATCATAATATGATTTTGAAATATTTTTGATAAAGAGTTTTCAAGTATGAGTACAAAGGGACCATGTATTCCCCGAGGAATCAATTTTTACATTGATAAAAGAGAAACTAAGATTCCTAAATGAGTTCTGAGTTCAAAAGTTATTTCAAGAGCAGACACCTATTTTAAGAGGGTAGTTTGAGAAATTATCTCAAACCATAAGAAGAGTTATGTTTTTAAACATATGATTTGAATATATTTTTGGGAGTAGTATGAGCACCAATATGAGGACGAGTTTAGATAACTCAAGTCTCCATAAACCATGTATCAAATGTGGGTAGAAAGGGTCATACTTTTTAGATGATTCCTTAATGCTTTATAGCATAGACTATTGGATCCACTTAGTTGAGAGGTTCTATACCTTGAGAAGGTATAAAACAATTCTGGTAGCGTGGATGAGACGTTGTATCATCACATAACTCCTAGTGATGGTTGTTGGTTAGAGAAACTCCCACATAGATATTTTGTATTCTTATACACAGAGTTTCTAATTTGTATTTTCATATACAAACAAAGTTTATATTGTATCCTTGTATATAAATTGAGTTACTATTGCATTTTTCAATACAGTGAGTTGCTTTCTACTGTTTTGAAAGTTTTTCATATACTGCATATGTATTGTTGCTTTATATTGAGTTGCTTATCCACAGTTGAGTAACCAAATTCGAGTATCTTATTATTGAGTCGAGCCTTGTTTCACTAAGTTGAATATCTTATCTTTGAGTTGAGTATCTTATTCTTGAGTTGAGTTTAGTTGAGTGAGTTGAGAGAGGTACGTATGTTCCCTTGTTAATAAGTTCAAGCTTATTTTATGCTGTAGAATTTCCCTTACATGCTCGTACATTCCACGTATTGAGCCATTTGGCCTGCATCATTTCATGATGCAGACACAAGTTTTTAGGGTCATCAAATAGGCACTTCGTTGATACCACATACAGTTCAAGTTAGCTATGGTGACCCTCCTTGCTTTTGTTTTCTATTAATGATTGAATATCTTTAAAACTACGCCCATGAAAGGGGTGATGATGTGTGGTAAGAAAGAAAAGTTTAGTCCCTATTATATATTCCTTACCAGTTTGTGAGGCACTTTGGTTAAGTGGTCTATGATCTAGATTTACATGTAGAGTTGTTATAAATGCACTTCATGTGTTTTTATTGAAGAAATGCATTGGTGGTCCAACGACATTTGTGCTTTTAGAGAGTGTTGTTGTAAAAGATAGTCTCTTTTACAATGAGGCCACAATTTAGATTCTTGATGTCAGGTTTGTAAGTTGAGGAATGATGAAGTCACTTTAGTGAAATTCATTTGGAGTAATCAGTTAGTTGAAGGAGCTTTTGGAGGCAAAATCTGACATGATGCCTAAGTACCCCACCTCTTTCCTTCCAGTTAAGTTCTGGTATGATGTAATAGTTCCTCCATAGTACTTCTTTCTATTCACGTCTTTTAGTTATTCTCATGTCCAGTAGTATGCGTATATGTTCTTGAAAAAATTTGACTATTTTTGATGTTTCAGTTTGGAGCCTTTACAACATCAGTTTTTCGTATTTATCTCCAATCTTGATATTGTAGAAAGTTTCTACTCTTTTCAGCTTATTTAAATTCCATTCAATGATGAATGTTCCCGAGGAAGAGATATTGTAACACCAAATGCTTCAAGTATATCAACCATTTTTTTATAATGTTCAAGAAAACATGACCTAGATGTCAATAGCCATATCTTTTTATAATCGAGAAACCCATGATGGGTTCAACCCAGTTAACAATAGATTTGTGTTGCCCCCTTACCCCAAAACCAAAGCTTTGAGGGTGTCAATACTTTTCTTTTTAAAAGTATTTTACATACAAATGCACCAAGAAGGGATGTAGTTTTTTTTAGGGTGTGTGTACTATTTGGATTAAACCAAAAAACCAAACCAAATCAAAACCGAATTCTAATTTGAATTGATTTTCTGAATTCTTGGTTTGGTTTTGAATTTATAAT